AATTTTACTGTAGTTTATAATTAAAATATGACCATATTGTAGGGTGTTATTATGTAATGTTGCTTCGGGCAGTGTCGAGTATCCGGGTTCGAATACGTTATTTTTTTCCAATTTTTTCCATAGAGTGGAGTAGAGTGTAGACTCTTTAATTCGTACTTGATCGATGATCGAAGTTTTACAGTTTGGTTAAAGCAAGGTTAGTTTTTGAGTAAAAAAAAACAGTTTCTTTCATGTACGACACTTTTTTGCAAACTTATCTTTTGTACAAAAATCTTAGCATGAATATATAATAAAATGATTATTTCATAATTGAAAATATATATTTTAGAAACCTTTACGTGCTTTCATCAAGTTTCACCTTTGAAAGAATTCTAACACATCTGAAAATACCTAATAAATCTAGCCATACATTCGTAAATAATGTATTTATCTATTAAAACTTACATGTACATAGTAGGTACATACTGAAGAATAAAACTATCACCAAATCATAAGAAATATCTTAGAATTACAAAGAAGTGTCGAAAAAATTATTATAATTAATGCTTTTAAATATGGCTTGTTTTATTATGTCAAACTGTTGACGGCTACTTCAAACAAAATCTACATAACCACTTATACTTTGTAGTAAAATTAGGTACACTAGTTATTAACTAATTAACAGACACACAGTTTAACTAACAGCTATAAACCATCATATAATTAACTTAATTGTTTAACTTAGATTTATGAGTGTCAAAATTGTCAGAGTAAAATATAGTACGGTAACTAAAATATGTCGATTATACTCGTAGTTGTGCTTGAAGGAGAATCTAAAATAGTGTGACTGCTAGCAAAGTTTATTCTTTTAGGGCATAGCAAGCCCCTTTCTTTTTTAAAGTGAATATGCTATTGATATTTAAATATTACTACGTGAGTTTATATTAATTTTAAAAACTTAGAGTTACAAAATACATATATAATGTTTCTGCTATTGATCAAACGTGATTATACTTTACTTTTTTCCATTTGAAAGACTTCGAAAATATCTGATTAGGTATCTATTCTAAATGAAAACCCCCGTTTAGTTGTTTTTTACATTTTAGTGCCTGGAAGTCGGTTTTTTTTAAGTTTTTATTTTTATATTTTTAGTGTAGACGTAATAAGCAGGTAATTTGTAGGAAGAAAGTTTCTAATAACATATTCTATTAAACAATTTGTTTAAAAAATATTTATTGTTGATTTTTTTAAAAACCGCTGGACCGATTTCGATAAAATTTATATGGGACTACCTGGAAAGTACACCCTTTCAAACAAAACAAAAATTTTCTAAATCGGTTCAGGCGTCTTCGAGTAATCGGTGAACATATATATATAAAAAAAAAGATTCCGACGAATTGAGAACCTCCTCGTTTTTGGAAGTAGGTTAAAAAGGATATAAGCAACTTTCACTAAGATCCAATCGATTCGAAACTTGGTACCCCGTTAATTTAATAACATTGCAATGATATGGTAACCTTGGCCTGATGCTGCAGCGTCACCTGGAATCTTCAAGATACTCAAATCTTTACTAAAACACTGCAGATATATCGTGTTGAGGCTTATTGAAATGACCTCAATGAATTGGTTATTATGTTGGGGGTTTATGATTTTTTGTTGATCGAAGTCAGTTAGTATTCTATTTTAATTTTGAAGTAATCAAATCATTTCCTATTATATTTATTTATTGATTAAGACTAATTAAATTATTATTGGTGATGTTTAATTATATAAATTATTTTCTTATGTATAATTTGAATACACCTCGTAAGCCAGCTTAACATTTTTTAATTTATGAGTTTTTAAGTTTGAAGAGTTTGGTTTATGCGTTATGAGTAAGTTAGTCAGTCAGTCATTAGTTAATTACAAGTAAATATACGAAGTATGCATTATGAGTAAGTTAGTCAGTTAATGCAATTGTTAATTACAAGTAAATATACGAAGTATAGCTATGCATAGAGGTTGAATTCAATTGGTATATAATTTACTACTTCGGATATGAATTTCCACTCAACCGTCGATTGATTTTCCTTGAATGCATCCGTTTTTCTGAATTTTTAGATTTCTACTTTCTATAACGAAGGTCTTATATAGGTTTCTTTTTTATATACGTATATACTAGTGAGAACTCGCAGTTTTGTCTGCGCGGATATGCGATAAAATAATAATTTGAAGCGTAAAATATTTAATAGCAGTGTATGTTTCATACATACATATGATTAAAATATATGTATATCTTATAAACTTTTACTGTACATACTGTAGCTCGTGTCTCTCTTAGGAATGCAACTTCGAATAGATACTATGTACATTCTAACTGTACATTCATGTTTCTTTTTGCTTTAAAATTAATTATTAATATCGGAGAATATTATGAATGAACGTGAAAAAGTAACTTTATAAATAAACAAATGGACAAAACAACAATATTATTTCATTGCACGCGGCTTCACCCGCGATCTGATGACCAAAAACCAAATTCTTAGTTTTACATATTAGTATACTCTTACAATACAGTTTTTGTATTTTTTCTCAGAAATGTGGTATTTTCCCGCGGTAAAAAGTATCCTATATGTTGACCCGGATAACTAGCTATCACCATACCAAATTTCATCAAAATCCCTCTAGTGGTTTTTCCGTGATGCGGTAACAGACAGACAGACAGACAAAAATTCTAAAAAGTATAGATTCGGCCTCTGTATCGATAATAATGTTTATTTCAATAAGATTTTCCAAAAAATATCTAAAGTACAGATTTGGCTTAGTTACAATTTTATTACATGTATAGATAATAATAGGATCTATATAAAAATAGGCAAAGACAAAACAGTTTAGTTTTGTCAATCGATTTTCTTTTTTTTTTAAAACAGTCCTTTTTTTGTATAGATAACTTAATAATGATTATGGTGAAATTTTCTTAACTTTCAAAATAAATATTATTTACTGCTGAACAACGAAAGCACATATTTAAAAAAAATACGTTTATTGCAGCGAATATTCACAGAAACATCTAGTTAACAATATACGAGCGAAAAACACATTTGAAAAATTCACCACGTCTAAATTATACACATTCACCTCCAATAGAATATTTAATAGCAGAGACCCTGTGTTACTACCAATGGCATATGACAGGGTGATTTACATGATACAAGTATATTATTTTCCTTCAAACGTTAGTATCGAACTAAAATTATAACTGCGAAAGTTAGTTGGTGTTTTACCCGACTGTGGCGAATCCCAAAAGAGGTTTGTGTTTCACCTGTATATACATATATGTATATTGATCATCTTATATATGTTCTCTTGTAATTACTACATGGCTCAACCGATTTTGATAATTCATACGTTGTTAGATTCATCTAACATGAGTGTCATAGGTTATGTGGGTATAATTAAAAATCAAAATGGCCGACTTCAGGATCCAAATTATATCTTGAACATTTTTTTTTTCGTAATTCATAAATAAAATTATGAATGTCAGCATATTTTTTGCACATTACCAACATAAAAAAAAACTAATAACAATGCAATATTAAAAAAACGTGAATAGGATAGTTTGCAATAAAAAAATATTAAAAAAATAACATGACATATTATTGTCTATAGTCTCTAAAGTACATTATACATGTCTGTTCTAATTAAATATTCAACAACGTGACGTATCATTGGCAGACATGTTTTGACGTCCGATGACATGGGCGTTTTATAAGACACGACTACTATACGATTAGCTAATTAGCTTATTTCTTTCATATATATTTTTTTTTCTAGAAATTAGTCAATTATCTAGCTCATTATTGCAATGGTATTTTGTTTCATTAATAAAAAATAGTAAAATTTATATGAATTTACAGTGATAGTGGTATCCCAGTGGTAACGCGCTCGCTTGGCAAACCGAGTAAAGCAGGTTCAAATCCCGGGTCTTGCATCTCTAATATTTTCATGTGCGAATTATTTCCAACATAATTACCACTTATCTTACGGTGAAGGAAAACGTCGTGATCAAATTTGCGTGTCTGAGAGAACCTAGTAACTTTTCAAAAGATATGTGAAGACCGACAACCCGCACTTGGCCAGCGTGGTGGACCATGGCCTGATCCCCCTCGTATTAAAGGGAGGCCCTTGGCCAGTGGGACGTTAAAAATGGCTAAATATATTTCAGTTTAATTAATTATTTACTAAAAACTTAAACATATCCTCGCTTAACTCGTGTCCCAAGATGTCTAACAGTATCCTACGTGTTACTCCAGGTCTTAACTCCTCTAAATAATATGTACATGTAAACTTTCGCATACATATTAGTAGTACGCTTTGACGTAAGTCTAATTTTTTTTTATTGATTTTTGCAAGTAATTTTCTTCAGATAGATTCTTAGATACAAGCAATATTTGTTGGATATACATATTTGTCCGCGGTTGTATACGCAACCACTGACATACTCTAACCCCTCATACTCATAATTTAATGAGACGACAATCTCGAATCACCAGCTGTAAAGCTATTTTGTAAGAACTTTTAGCAGAATCCTAACATACTTGTCGTATAGACAGACGATTTTACTCCCTCTACTAAGCACAAGTGAATAACAACATTAATACAAATATTTTGCCAAATTTCTGTTAAAACAATTATTTTTTATAAAACACTAATAAAAATATCGTACCGCAAATCGTAAAGTTACCATAACTGGTAATAGTTTATTATTAAAAAAATTCTTTCACTTTGACTTTCTTCACGCCTCAAAAATGAATACTTATTACAGCGATTATAACATTTTGTTCGGAAAAAATGGTGGAATATTCGAAATTATGGGTCGCAAGTGACATAATTTGTGAGGAAATTGAAGCAATAGACAATGATATGCTATTATCTTTATGGCTCTAAATTTTTTTTTTATTAAAAAGTAAATAATAGTCAGGGTAGTAAATGTGTAACACTGAATACTTTGTTTGGATAAAAAAATACTTATCTGTACTTACCATCTTTTGGCGGACTTGCGCATTGTGGGGCATAGGAACCTAAGTGATAACCATACGTATTTTGATGCATGGGTGGAAATGGATACCCTAAGGACCTAGGACTTGGAAACCCTGACGCTTCATGAGGATTCTGCTGACCACCTGGACTTCCAAAGTGATGGGGATGCTGGTATCCACCTTTGAAAGGACCATAGCCATGTTGCTGAAGCTCTATGAAGGCCGATTTTGATGATACATTAGTCGGAGTAGAGTTTGTCGAGTTAGATATATCATGAGGGGTTTGAGAACCCCCTAAATGATGGTGGTGATCTAACTCTTGGGTGGTCATGGCGGGTTGGGGGGTGGATGGGCCCCCTCCGTCCGAAGACTGAGGAGGCCCGAAAGGATCTGAGAAACTCAGGGTGCCGGGTTTGGTGTTTGGGGATTGAATTCGTGTAATTTTGAGAGATTTCTGCTGCTCGTCTGATATTTTGCCGCTTGTTGAGCCTGTAAAAAAAACAATGAATAAATTATTTATTCATCATATAGGGCTTTTAAAATATGCTATGATATAATTTTTAAAACAATTATTTTGACATCCTAAAAACATAGATAAATCCTTTTCAAATCTACTAAGTGTAGTAAATATCTTCTAAAAATGACAACACAAGCAAGGCAATGCATAAGTTTGGTTATGTATGTTCATTGCTACTTCCAGCTTAAAAGGCTGGACGAATTTGGATGAAATTTTAAAATAGAGACGCGAGGGTAAGTAGCTATCATTACAAATATAGCTATGATAGTAGGTCATGACCCTTAAGTATTTCTAAAAATGCCCAAATACCTGAGCAATCAAGGGTAACGGTAAGAATAAACACCCACATGAGGTCAAGCGAGTTCAGAGTTTTCTGGAAAACAATTTGTACGTCACGCTCAATTGAATCAACGGACTTGATATTGAAGTTAAATATTTTAGAATGTGCCTTTGATAATGCCGAGGTGATTAAATTTTGTTTTTAAATTCTTATATTTTGATGGGTATAGGTCGCGGATTCGATGCTCGTATTAGAGACAAGTGCTGTACGGAAAAATACTTAAAAATAGTAGACAGAAGAGAGTTATGCTTTTTTTAAAGATGATACGATTATAACAGAAAATGTAAGTAATCTAGAAAGTCAACACGTATACATTAATTAAAAACTTATATTATACTGCCAGTCACACCGTTTAGATATTTACAGATGGCAAAACCATACAAAGTACTAGAAATGTTAAAAAAATAAGACACTTCGATATTTCTTATACGCATCTTAGAATCCAAGTGTATAACAAGGCGTCATTTGAATATGATCGAAGCTTTAAAGGGCTGGTACCTCCAATAAAAATCACATGAAGTCCTACATCTCCCATAAAAACCCCATCGTTCCTCATTAGCGCTATGCAAACTAAAACAGCTATCTAATTCGGTACTTAACAGCTTCCTTGAAAGTCCTTAGCCAAATGCAAATCAATACATAAGGCACACCGGCAAGTTACTCATTTATTTTTATTGCCTTTATTCCATTAAAAAAACCTAATTGGCTATCGCCTCAGAACCATTCAAAGAACAATTTCTCACTAAACTAACGCGAGAAAAGTTGATCGTATCACCGCATTCCACTGATAGCGTAGCTATAAATCTATTATAGTGGTAATGTACATTCTTAATTTTCTACCTTTAACTTTTTAATGTTTATTTGATATAGATTGAAGAAAATTGGGTGTTTTTGTAAAATAAATTCTATACTAGGTTTGACTTTCCGCTTCGCTTGCTAACGTTAGAAAATATTCTTTATTGTTCTCATCAACGTCTACCGACTGGCAAAAGCTGTGATAAAAACAGTTTCTCTATAACGTAGTCTAAACATTTTTAGATGAATTCAGATCACTATTTTATTATCTTTAATACGATTATTTCCACTAACGATATAGTAAGTGATACTTTGAAAATTGTAAAGGTAAATAAAATTTAATGAACGCTGAAGTTAACTTTTTTAATGTTTGTGTAAATAATTACAAATCCTAAAATGGGTAATATCGCATACGCACTTCTCCATGTCAGGAACGATGCGTGTGCCATCTAATTACATACTCATCGGTCGAAGCGTTGAGGTGTGAAATAAAATCGAGTTAATTGTAAGTAAAATTAAAGTGTCTGTTATGACGTAGAAATAGCTACCACATATTGAACTCATATATGTATATAGTTGTGCATGTATAATTGTTCGTTTATATATGTATTCATTTGTAGATATCTTTAAGATTCTATGCACCCCATCATTCCCCCTTTCTTTCTCTCTACCCAAAGGTTGCCTAGAATAGATTGCTATCCAGCGATAAGGCCACATTGTACTATTTCTCTTTAATCTGTGTCAACAATAATATATATATATATATATATATATATATATATATATATATATATTAATCTAATGTAAATAAAAAATATTTGTTTTGATTTTCTTTACACTATCATTACACTATTAGAATTTACCTATCTGTATAAGAAAATAACTGTCTCCAATTTTTTTTATAGGTAAGACTAGCTGCCCAATAGGTATTAAACACAAAAACAAGAAATTGATGGACAAACAGAGGAAAAAATGTACTGAATTGTTTTGTCTTTGCCTATTTATATATAGATATTACTTAAACCACAAACAATTAGTATTTTTTGATTTGGCTGTATGTTTTTTAATCTTGGTTAAATAAAGTTTAATATAATATGAAAAAATAAGATTTTCCGTTAAATGACAATTAGAACAATATAATCTTTAGTAAAACTCATATATTGAACATTTAACTAAAATTTTTCCGGTTATCCTAAATTTTACTAATACTCAACTCGCCTTCTAAAGCTTTAAATTTAGTGGACCACCAGGTTGACCACAAATGACCCTAAGAATTAGTTTAAAAAACCCTTTTCGGCAAGTCCTTTGAGTTAATTACGACGTCTACCATTCTCTTCCATCTCACACAGCTGTATATATCTTTCTCAAGAGATCTTTTTCATCTCGGCGCTTGTAAAAGGTCGGGTCAAATCGTTTTGTTATTTTTTTTATGTTTGTTTGTTTGTCTGATGATTGCTCATGCCAGTAATAATAATGTTTAGGGCCAGTTAATTGGTGTAAGGTTTTATTGAAAATTATTGCATGTCTTTGAATTAAATTAATTTATTTTAACGTTTATTGAGAGCACTCCGAGTTCCTTTTTCGTTGACATTTATATTAAAAATATAATAAAAAAGTTTTTTAATGTGATTTTGTAATGTCATAAACTATGCATAAAGTAAATACTTTGTAAAAAAAATTACGTTACATGTCAAAAGAGTTGTAAGTTATTAAAAAGGTCTTTAAACGTGCTTATTTTTATATTCGAAAAAAAAACAGTAATTTACAGTTACAACCTCTGTCTTGTCACATTAAAAAGCAAGCTAAAATTTAATTACAAAAAAAAACTTTTAAAAACCAAATGACAAATTGTATTTATCCATTACATAACGTTTAAGCCAGCTATAAACCGCTTCCTTAAACCATAAAAAGACAGTAAACCCTAAGATTAGGGTAATTAGTACGTTCACTCAATGAATTTATAATTTTGCAAAAACCCATCCAGAAACCGGCTTCAGTCAACGTCGTTTAACCTGCATAATGTAACCCCCATGACATTTGCAGCCCTCGTCGCTGGTTATAGGAAATAATATGAATATTAATATGTATGGTATAACAAATAGAACAATGAAAGCATCTGGTCATAATTAATGATTTTTAATGGGATCCCATAAAAAATAGGTCATCGATAACTAGTGATTAGTACGAGCCTTTAACTGTGTACGTGAAATGTTAGATGAATGGTTCGTAACAATACTTTAAATTATATTTTAAATAAAATTTCAAAACGTTGTTGAGCAAAAATTAAAGTAGACTACGAGAAAGTTCGAACGAAAGCTTTTAAAAAACACTGAATTCAATTGATATTAAAAATGCGATTGTTGTATATTTGTCTGTAAATCAACCATCAACCCATTGCAAATATTTGATGACACATTGGCTCAGCTTGTAGTGCTAGCGGTCGCAGGTTCGAGTCCCGCTGTGGGCATTCATTTGTGTGATGAGCACGAATGCTTGTACTATATTCATGGGTGTTTATATTTATAATTATAATATGTTTGTATTTTAAAATATTAGTATATTAAGTTATATATGTGTAGTGTATCAACTATCTGGTATCCATAACACAGGCCTCTTAGTTTACCATGGAAATAGATGGGGCTATGATTTGAAAGTTTAATATAGAAGTAAACTAAATTAATGCGCTAATCTCTGGGACTGGATACTGGTCCGATTTAAAAAAAATGTTTTAGAATTATAAAGTCTATTTTTTGAGGAAACTATCTATGTAAAAAAACTCAACATCGCTCATAACTATTAAATTATGGTCGATTTTTGAGGATTAGATATCTAGTCTTACTAATCTTACTAATATTATAAATGGTAAAGTTAGATGTTTGGATGTTTGTTACGTAATCACGCCAGAACGGCAAAACAGATCTGGATGAAGTTTGGCACAGAGATACATTATAGTGTGGAATAGCACATATACTTTATTAAGGAATTCCGGTTCCCGTGGGATAGATTTGTTTTTGTTTATGTAGAGGCGAACTCGAGCGAAGCAAGGGTCAGCTGTTATTAGTTAGAAAATCTAGCATCTTAGATTATTTAAATAGACTAGACTATAGGTACTATAGAAGATATTGTATATAAGTGCGTCTCATTATCCAACTTCAGCTTAAGTAAAAGAGATTAGATGCAAAATTAATAGCTTTTGAAACTCTCTGTTGCCCCATGAACGGTTAGTGTAAAACTTGTAACAAAATTTCTTAATCCTAATAAATCCTGTCTGGACCCAGCATCCAAACACTCTTACACGAGCTTCTAATCGTTATTATTAAATTATTTAAATTTGCGACATTATAGTAAACACGATTATGCCTCACATAGAAAAGTTAAGTAAGAAAGAAGTATTTATACATTATGTAGTCAACCGTTACGAAAGGGTCATGGGAAAGGACTCCATAATAATTGGAACTCATAAAATTCTATCAAATATTCATTAAGTGATCGCATCGTTGATTAATATTTGAGGTATGTATAAATAAAATAATCCCGCGGGATTTTTTAATATACTTATATTTTATCGTTTTTAGCACCCCGCGGGATGAGAAATGCGAATTAAGTTTGACTTTGAAAACTATGAAACTTATATACTAAATATTTAGTTAAAATATACTATTTTTTAGTACATTTCCATAAAAAGGTCTTATATTATTCATAGTTATTGTTTTCGATTTCTAAATCTTCATACTAATTTTTGCCAGCGGTTTAATTCGCGTAGTTTGTTTAGATATATGTCTGATCTTAAAGGTCAACGAGCAGTGCTAGATATCATGTAACTTTCCTCAATAAATA